TGTCACATTCTGATCTAGAATTGTCTCAGAAATCCAAAAATTTTACAATATACAGGGTGTTTTCATTTAAAAATTTAGAACTGGAGCCATTCCCGGTGAAACCGGAAATGACCGGAAAGTGGAAATTATGTGAAAATTCTCCTCTTCACATACCATTTACCTATACCAAATCTCATTTTGATACATCTAATGGTCCAGAAGTTATGACTTGTCTAATAGATTCGTTGACCCCCGGTATATAATGTTCGTCTATCATATTATGTAATCTGTCATTTATCTAGTTTGTAGATTTATATTTTTGTAACAACCTACAATTCCTATACTTTTTTAGAAAGTCTTAGGAAAATAAAGATATTCATTTATTTATGTTAAACTCAACCTCCACCTCTTTCATTGGCGCACAAATTATACACTGTGTTTCAGCAAAAATCATTTGTATACAGGGTCATACCGAAGTCCACCTGCACATTCTTATTCGACTATGGATATCCAGTATATTATTGCTTATTCGAGTAGAGCAAATTATTACAAATTTAATAATACCGGGTTTGATTTGATTTTTTCAAACTACTAAGAAGAAAATCACAAGAATTTAATTGAATCGTTTTAATTTTTGCCATATTATTATCTTCGCAGTCAAAGAAAAAAATGCCATCAAACCCTATTGTTAAATTTGTAATAATGAGCTCTACTTGAATATGGAATAATATACTGGGTGTCCCAATTCAAAAAGAAAAGTTTAGGTGCGCTTCAATGTTACCCTGTATACATACGATTTATTCAGTAGCATATTTGGAGTGAGTATAATCATATATACTGGGTGACCAAATTTCAAGTCATTCGATCGCGCGGTTGATTTTTTACAGAGGGAGGGACATTTTAGCTGGGACACGGTGTATACAGGGTGTCCCTAAAAGGTCTGTTCAAAATCTCAGCACATATTACTGAGGTCAAAATTAGCTGATTTGAAGCAACTTACCTCAGTCCGAAATTGCTTCGTTTACGAGATACAGGGTGGTAAAGTTAGGAAATGAAAATCAAATGTTTCAAGATTTATGAACATATTTGAACGTACAACTCCAGATATTGGTATCCGCGGGTTTTTTGGGATGCAAAAGCCGAATTCGGACACCTTTTCACTGTTGCCGTTAGAGGGCGCTCACCAATGCACTTCTTTTGGTAGAATAAGAATGGCCATAACTTTTTTCTCAGAGTAGTTTTTCACTTTATATGTTGAGGAAATAATTTTCTGAACATTTTTGAGCGAAAAAGATAGTGTTCGATGCCGCACCGGAATATTTGATTTCGATTTTCCACTAAAAAATGTTGCCCGTTATCTTCGTGGATGTAATTTGGTCAGTGAATTAGCAGTATGAAAATTGATTTTTCAAAATTCTTTCTTGGAGTGTAGTAGTCGATTTTTATCGGAACAATTTTGTACTGAGTTAAGTTGCTTCAAATCGACTTATTTTAACCACAGGAAAATGTGTAAAGATTTTGTACAGCCCTTTGAGGCACACCCTGTATGTGGAATTATTAAAAAGTTCTACGTCAATGAATTGTTATTTATCATAACTTTCATGTTATTTTGTCCCAATGGTAGATATACGAAAACAAACAATCTGTTATTATTTGAATGAACTTAAGTATTATATTTGTTTCAGAATTATTTTCAATTTGACACTTTCAGAAGGTACATTTCTTATGGAATTTTTATCTGATCATCTGAAAAGCCATGACATGCAATAAATTTGATTTGTATTCCGTTTCCCATTAATAATAGAAATACGTGTTGTTATTATTCGTATTCGACTAATAATAATCCAACTCAGCACTGTTAAACATCACAAAACTGTTTATTGCAAAATCATTATCTAACCTCGAAGGTCAATTGCTTTTTTCACGCGTGTTTGTCATTTTCGTTCATTGAAACACATTGAAGATAGCGAAAAATATGTTTTCATGCTTCTGAAGGGTGTAATTAAAAATACAGAAAACTATAAATACGCGTCAGTTATCCGTTACGACCATAATAATGAAAACGAATGTATAATAAGAATTTCCGATGGAGACCGGAAATAACTGGAATTGTTCGAATTAACTACTACTACTACTAAGATTATCACAATTTTTGATAGTCCAAAAAAAGCTTCATGGTATTTTATGTGTTCTAAACGTCCATTTAGAAACGAGTGTTTAATGAACGAGTATCTAGAAGAGTTTATAAACGCGTTACATACTATTCTTTTTCTACGAACTCAAACTCATATTTCCTCTTGTCCACAAGATCCCATAATTCCGAAAATTAGGTTAACCTAGGAGTGCACTTAGATCAAAAACTAATCTTTAAACCATCATACCCAGTTGATGAAAAAAAAGTGCATCACAAGAGCTAAACATTTTCGAAGCCTAACCTACAAGAATGAGGGAATTAGCAAAAGAACTGCAGCACATATTTCCAAAACCATTCGCCGACCTTTCTACGGTGTTCCAATGATGTCAAAGAGTGAGTGTGGCGTCACCCACCAGGCGAATGGCTCTTCTCTGGATGGAATCTAAGAGCATCAGCGTATGTTTTGATGCTGAACCCCATGTGTGGAAACAGTTTTCTTGAACTGGTCGTATCTGTGCTTTGTAGATCATGAGAAGCTGTTGAGGTGTAAAGAAGCTTTTCGCATGGAACAAGAATCCGAGTTTTTGTGAAGCAGCTTTTGCGATGGATCTGACATGATTATCTCATGAAAGAGTGTTGCTAATGGAAATACCGAGCATAGATATGGTGGGCTTGGTGGGGATGGTGGTGCCAGACATTACAATATCGGGCATACTGAGTTCCGCCTTTCTAGAGAAAATACAGGCTTGAGTTTTGGTGGCGTTGAATTCAACTAGGTTGTTTGTTCCCCAGGCTGTGATTTCAGCAAGATCTTCATTGACAGCATTGACCTGCCTGCGCCGTGAGTTCTCAGTTTCCTGGGAAGAAATGGGAATTCTGGAAGAGAACGCAGTATGGAGGGTACTATCATCTGCAAAGCTGTGGGTGGGGCAAGTTGTTACTGCCAACAGATCATTGATATACAGAAGGAATAATGTTGGTGCCAAAATTGATCCTTGTGGAACGCCGGAATTGATGCCAATGATATCAGACGATACACCGTCCACCACCACGTGAAGCGATCTGCCTGAAAGAAAACTCGATAAGAGATAGCATAGCTGAGGTGGTAAGCCGTATGATGGTAGTTTGTGGAAGAGTCTTTCGTGCCAAACACGGTCGAATGCTTTCGATATGTCCAACGCGACAGCTAGAGATTCCCCGTGTTTTTCTAATGAAGCTTGCCATAAATGGGTGACGTAGGCAAGTAGATCTCCAGTAGATCTTTGGTAGATAACGAGAGAAAAACAACTACTTTCCTGGCTATATGCCACGCAGAACATTGGATTACATCCTCCCGAAATCTATGCAATAATTCGTATAGACGAATAAAGTCGCAAGTGTTTCCTTCCTAAATTTGGCTTTTTCCTAGTTAGAAACACGCCAGTCGGACAACCAGCCACTCCCATTTCGCCTGAAATGGGATCTTGTTTTGGAGTGTTTCTTTCCTTGCTCGGTGGCGTTCGGCGTTCGCGTTTCATTTCGCTGACTTCGAACGCCTCGTGGGGTATTAAATGCTGAGAGGAATGCTATCTGGGGCAGATCTGCACTGATGAGAGCCAAGAGCTCGAAACCGGTCTGCAGGTAGTCACGCGTTCCTGAACCACTTAGGCGTAGCTCGGCGTTTAGGAAGGAAACATTCGCGATTTTATCCATCTATACAAATTATTGCATAGATTTCGGGAGGATGTAATTCAATGTTCTGCGTGGCATATAGCCAGGAAAGTTGTTGTTCTCCTCTCGTTATCTACCAATTTCGTTCATTTTATGAACTCTTGTTGAGTTTCTCTGTATTTTTAATAGTATTATGTATTATGTTCTCAATTCCCATTCCCTTCGTATTATTCAAGTAGGTTAATCTAATTTTTCTACTCACATAACTAAAATGGCATTCATCGTACAGATATGTACCACGCTAAATGATCGATTAATCACGGATTGACGATCTGTGATTTATTCAAAATATTAAACACGTTACCATGGCAACACGATTTCTTAAACACATTACCATGGCAACGCAGTTCATTAAACACAGCTTCAGTAATTTGAGACATGTCTGGCCACTCAATTGAAATAACTGTCAACTGTTATTTTCGAATTTTGTACCAGAATTATTCAAACAATTTTCGTTTGTATCAGAATTTTTCATTGATAATATATGCGAAATGTATAATAAGAAAGTGTAATCGAGGAGAATGTTTTGGTACTTGCGTATCTCCAAGAAGTGTAAAAATGAAGCATCCATCTTTGAGAACAATTTATTTATTTTGCGCTAAGCATGGCAATAAACGTGAAACAAAGCTTAGTAAGCAATGGACTGGTCACATCTACAACCAATATCACTTATACGTGTCTCGCTGGTTGCATGCATCAGTTGCCACTATTATGTTCTCAATTCCCATTCCTTTCGAATTATTTTGTAGGTTAGCAGGAAAAGCAGGTATGTTAATGTAATTTTCGGAGTTCGTAGAAAAAGCATAGTATGAAACGTGTTTTTCAACTCTTCTAGACACTCGTTTATTAAACACTCGCTCCGCTCGTGCTTAAAATACTCGTTACTAAAAGGACGTTTATAACACTTGTTACATAATATACTATTTCGGAATTATGGGATCTTGTGGAAGAGAGGTATTATGAGTTTGAGTTCGTAAAAAAAGAATACCATGTAAAGCGTTCATGAACTCTTCTAGACACTCGTTTATTAAAAACTCGTGTTTAAATACTAGTTACTAAAATGACCTTTATAACACTTGTTACATACATAATATACTCTTACGCCACGACAGGGAGTAAATAATGAGAGGTTTTTAAGGATACATACACTTGAACTGTCCGAGTGGGCGCTTATTTCCTACAGACGAGCAGACAGAGGCGGAGGCAGAGGCGGAGGAGGAGGAGGAGCAGTGAGTGCCGGGGCCGGGTCGCGCATATGACCCGGGGGCGGCAGAAATCGGCGCCGGCGCCGACGCGACGTCGCCAGCGAGAGGCAGGGACTGCGTGCGCTGGTGGCTGATCGTGGGGGCAACGCCTCCGCCTGCTGCGTGGAAAAAAAACAAGAAAAAGACACGTCACAACACAAACAAGGGGTGGAGGAAAAAGCGGAACAGGGGCGCCCGTATGCTCTAGCCTAGCGCCTAGTCCTTACTCAGATTCTACTACTATCATTATAAATGTGAATGAAAGTTTATTTGTCAGGGTTCCACGCCAAAACTACTCAACTGATTATCATGAAACCTTTTATACGTATATTCTTAGATGTATTTGAAAGGATATAGGATACTTTTCCTTAAAAATAGTAGATTTGTTTTATCAGGATCAAAAGTGACACTTTGTTTGACAAGCTAATTTTGCATTTGCGAGGCGGAGCGTTTAGCACGTTATCCATCCCAAGAATAACGAATGAAATAAAGATCAAGCAAGTACTTCAATCTTGAAGGCTTCCCTGATCAAAACTAGGATGCTTTGATAATTGAACATTCTCTATCTGTCTAAAATATTTTCATCGATACAGTGTTGCCACTTCTACCAGAAACAACTAGCAACTTCGTTATTTCAAATGGAGCACCCTATATTTTATTGCACTTTTAGATTCTTCCTGAAGAGCTGATTTCATCAATGCATCACACTTGAGGTCTAGCAGTAATGATTACAGAGATATAGGGTGTTCAAAATCGAGATTTTTCAATTTTAGGATTTTTTGTGTCGAAACTATTCATTATCGATCAAAACGGCTTACATGTCCCTATCTTAACTTTCGATTCACTATCGACTGACATTTAACTGGAACAGATACAGGGTGATCTGAATTCCGAATCTTGAAGCACCCTGTATTTTTTCCAATTAAATTCCAGTAGATAGTGAATCAAAAGTTAAGATAAGGACATGTGAGCCGTTTTGATCGATAATGAATAGTTTCGACACAAAAAAATCCTAAAATTGAAAAATCTCGATTTTTAACTCCCTATATCTCTGTAATCATTCCTGCTAGACCTCAAGAGTGATACATTGATAAAATCAGCTTTTCAGGAAGAATCTGAAAATGCGATAAAATACAGGGTGTTCCATTTGAAATAACAAAGTTGCTAGTTGTTTCTGATAGAAGTGGCAACACTGTATCAATTAAAATATTTTAGACGGATAGAGAATGTTCAATTATCGAAGCACCCTAATTTTCAGAATGTTCTGTTTTTTGGTTCTCCAGATACTTCTAATAGGCTATCCACCGTGGATCACCCTGTATATATATATATATATATACAGGGTGGCCCTTTGAAAACGAAACAGAGGCTCTGTAGGTCGCCATAACCGGATTATGAAAAAAATCTGAAACACGTCAACTACATTTTCGAGGGGGACATCGTTCTAAAATATTTTCAGCTCTACGGTGTTGCCGCTCCTAACGAAAAGTAGCAGCAACTTTGTTATTTCACATGGAACACCCTGTAATTCATTGCATTTCTAAATTCTCCCCGAAGAGCTGATTTCATCAATGCATCACACTTTAGGATATCTTTGTGTCGAAACTATTCATCATTGGTCAAAGCGGATCACATGACCATATCTCAACTTTCGATTCACTATCTACTGACATTTAATTGGAACAAGGTTCAAGATTTCGAATTCAGATCCCCCTATATCTGTTTCAATTAAATGTCAGTAGATAGTAAATCAAAAGTTGAGATGGGGACATGAAAGTCGTTTTGACCAATAATGAATAGTTTCGCCACAACAAAATGCTAAAGTTGAAAAATCTCGATTCTGAACACCCTATAGCTCTGTAATCATTGCCGCTAGATCTCAAGTGAGTTGCATTGATGGAATCAGCTCTTTGGGAAGAATCTAAAAATGCAATGAAATACAGGGTGTTCCATTTGAAATAACAAAGTTGTTGCTACTTTTCGTTAGGAACGGCTGAAAATAATTTAGAACGTCCCCGTCGATAATGTAGTTGACGTGTTTCAGATTTTTTTCATAATCCGATTTTGGCGACCTACAGAGCCTCTGTTTCGTTTTCAAAGGTCCACCCTGTATATGATTTTATTCACGAACGTATATATTTCTGAGCGTCGTTCTTAAAATTGTGCTTCAAGCGGTCTATCTCTTGAATCTCGATCAAATCAATGTGTTACATGATCTAAGGTTACAGACAGTATTAATCATTCCAGAATCACGTCATTTGACAGGTTGCTGAGGGGCAAACATTGTATTTTGTCAAGTTTTTTCATATAAAACCAGAATTAGTGGGATCGTTTTCCTTGGAATCCGAGTTGGAACCAGAAAGAAACTGTTATTATATTGTGGATGTGACAGGGATGGCCTCAAAGGTAACCTAACAGATAGTTTGTGTGCCCCTCAAGAAACCATGTCAAAATCGCGTGTTCTGGAATGGTCAATTCAAATCTACTTTGACATTGACACTTCTGTCACATTGAATGTGTCTATTGTGTAATTGCATTTTATTTAAAGTTTTGATTAATTGAGTGTTTGGAATTGTGTTTTAATGCTAAGTAATGTGCCATCTGACCAGGGGCGTATTTACCTAAGGGCCAAAAGGGCCATGGCCCGGGGCGGCAGGCTGCGAGGGGCGGCGCAAGCCGCACCACGCTTAGGTTTTTTTTTACTTTATTCCTCCGAAGAAATTAGCGTCGGCGGCACACAGTTAGATTACTCCGTGTCGGAACCTTTGATGTCGATGTTCCAATTTTACCTCTCACTCACATGCACTCCTGGGAAACAAAGTCAACAAATTCTGGGTGCGCAAAGCATTTGTCATTTATTGCGAGCGGTGGTATTGTATCCGATGGCTCCGAGAGCAAGAAACGAGACGATGAGAGTAGCGAGGGAGAAATGGTGTTTCAAGGACGGGATCATTTCAGGGTTAATACCTTCTTTCCAATATGCGACCGATTATTGGGCGAGTTAAGGAAGCGAAAAACTTCGTATGAGGCGGTAACCGCCAATTTTGCATTTTTATGCAAATTGGATACAATGTCTGCTTCAGAAGTGAGATTAAATGCCATGAAACTCCAAAAAGTTTACCCTATTGATCTGGCGGATGATTTACAAGAAGAATGTGTTCTCTTAAAACAATTCCTGACGTCTCATGAAAATAAAATGAGTTTAAGGCAACTCAGCTTATTTATTAAGCAAAAACATTTGAAGGAAGCATTTCCATATATTGAAATAGCATTACGAATATTTCTGTGCACTGCGGTGACCAATTGCAGTGCAGAACGGTCATTTTATGTACTTAAAAGAATAAAAAATTATTTACGTTCTCGTTTAAGCGAAGAACGTTTGAATAGTTTAGCTATTCTCAATATAGAAGCTGAACTGACAAATTCCATTAATTATGACAGTGTTATTGACGAATTTGTTAACCAATCTGTCCATCGGAAGAAAATGTAAATATCGAATAAATAGTGTTTATTTCTTTCTTTGGCCTTCTTAATTTTTCCATTCATTATTATCATTCTCAACCCAATATACTGCTGGCTTTCATTTCATGATTTAATGTTTTGCTCATTTTCCGTTGATTTATGGGGCGGCAAACCCTACAGGCCCGGGGCGCTGAATATTGAAATACGCCCCTGCATCTGACGGCATATATCACGTGATCATCAAGTGTGATTATTTGGTAGTAGTATTGAAGGTTATAATAATTGTTCATTCGATTATGTGACGGAATATCATATGATTATATGTTTATACAACCGAATATGGTAGAAACATATCTCTCGAGTCGTTCTGGCCAAATTAATATTATGACATATCACACTTGGCGTCAAAAACATATCATTTTTGTCAGAATGACAGCGCGGGAAAATGAAGGTTAAAATCCCAATATGAGGAAGTGTATGCGATCATTGGAACATGAAATTGTTATTTGTTTTATGGTACTGATGGAGACACTGATTAGGTACTTGGGTAGCACAGATGTTATACGTAATCTCTACCAAGGAAGCAAGCTGAAGCCAATTTATTTTACTTCCCACGGGAGTAAATTGACAGGTTTGAGTCCTTGAATAAGGTAGCAAATGCTTACTTTCGATGCAGTGAGTAGATACAATTAAATTGGTAGACATAATTGTTGAGCACAAAATATCCAAAAAGCAGACATGAAACTCTATACATCGGTACCTTAGATATTAATTATTAGAATACGTTATATAGAAGACTGGAACCTTTGGCATGATAATACACTACACTACAAGACGAGGGAGAATTTTCTAAATATTCGTGTTCGATAAAGAATTTCCGGTTTTCAATTGAAGCTAGAGTATTCGGTAAGAAAATCTCACACCGAAATATAGTAGGATAGGATTACGCTGAATAAAATATAAAATACCGATTCATGTTACACAAAATATTAATAAGGCAGGTGGTGGTAGTTCAAACTATTATTCTTGACTAACTTTATTCCACTAAAGTTGGTGGAAATATATTTTGTTACAAGGAATTCGAAGCAGTATGAAGTTTTAATATATTTTTTTGTATGTTCTGGTTCCCACGAAAAGGGATATCCTGTAATGTTCAGAAAACATCGTGAGATCCAAGGGAAATAAGGTAGGAATTGGTGTTCTTCTTAAATTTCTGGAGGTTATATGCCTCGGGAAACACCTCCCTTGGCAATGTGTTCCAGAGCCTCACTGTTCGTTGGTTGAACGAGTCTTTGGAAAGAGATGTTCTGCAGGTCTCCAAAGCGACCACGAAGGGGTGCGAAGCCTCAACTCGGCGGGTGAATCTCACGGGGACTGCCAAAGGACAAGAACAATTTTCGATATTTCAGAAGAACATCGTCCATGAAAATATCGCCAACTTTTCTACGGTGTTCCAGAGAAGTGAGATACATTACATTGTTTCTTATTTTAGTAACGCAAAATAATAAAAAATTGAGTCGATATAGTAGGTCAATTTCTCAGTTTTTCACAAATTCAATTTACTAAAGTTGGTAGAAATATATTTTTTCACAAGAATCTCAAGTACTTTTTAGTATCAATGAAATTTGATCACGTCATATTATTTGGTTAAATAAAA